TGTCATTACACATCTGTGTATTACTTTGGAAGAGAGTATACTGTCTATCTACAATCAATATACTGTCAAAACTGGTCTATATTATGAGAAGTGTGAAAAGTGATGCAAGATAACCAAGGATTCCGTTTATCCAGGGTTTAGAATGACCCAGGTTTAACTATTTCAAGTGTGAAAAGCCTATCTCTCTGTGTTTACGGTCACTGAAAGGAACTATTTCTAGCTAATGATTTTTCTTTAAAAAAATTACATTAATACATGTATTTTTGGTTTTAATATGTGTATTGTGTGGTTATACATACATACATTTGTGTAAATAATTTCCTTGTTTAAAACCTTGTTTCAATCCTGAATGAATTCGTTTTTGAATAAATTGGCTGAATGAATGGTCTACTAACTCACTTATAAGGATAGTCACTTGCCAACACCTACGGCGTAACACTGAAGTCACTGAAAGATACTCACCACTACACACAGATCATTTCTCAATATATATAAATATTATTAATTGAACAATACTATTTGATGAACAATAATAATCATTATACAAGCATAGGAAGTTTGCACAATAGGAAATAGACAAGCAAACAATTCAGAATTTAAGTTAAATAAAAATACAAAGTTATGAAGCTGAGCACTCAGCCAAAATGACTTGCCCAGTAACAAATAACAGATTAATTAAACCAAAGATTGCCTGTTAGATATACCTCAAATGAATTATATATCTCATGTTTAACCACTATAAAGAGTAATCATAACCAACAGCGAATGTCTGAAGGACTTGCCGATATAAGGCTGTTCTCAGAGAGATACATGAGCACTGACTGCATGGTGATAACCCAGACTTCACAACTCCAAAAATATCAGAGCAAATTTTCAAATAGGGTGCTATCTTCATAAACTGCAGATCTGAGGTTTAAATAACTACATTTTGACCTGAAAACAACAACAAAAAATCTTAAAATTACATTCTGTGAAACAACAACAGTAGTATTTCAAAAATTATAGTGGGTTTTCTCCTCCACCATGACCACACTCTGGGAGAACTGCTGGATGTCTAGAACACACAGACACACACACTCATATACTGGTTCAAACCACAAATAATAATGTTATTAAATAGGGGGAAATAAATTTTTATTTATGAGACAGGAATATGAATCTTCGTTTAAGAAGTCTTTTAACAGACACAATGAACTCCTCAGTCATGAATGTGTAGATTATAGGGTTAAGCATCGGAGGAAGTGCAGAAGTCAGAGAAAGATTAATGATCCTTGTGTTC